AACTSTGATTTGTCCTATGAGAACTATGTTGGGTGGGTTGTGGAAGGTGATTTTTGTGTTTAGGGGTCCCACTGGGTGTTGGCAGGGACAGTGATTAGACTGAGTAACTTGGGAGAGGACAGCTGCAGCAATTTTATATGTTGGGCCTATGACTTGGAGGGGAGGTGACCAGGTCCTTTTAGCAGTGGTGGTGGGGGCAGTATGGCACCCGTCAGGATTTATGGGTCCTTTCTAAGTTCTGATGGTAGATTCAAACGCTCAGAAAGATTCATTATTGTTTTCATTACACCACTGTTTCTTGGTTCCCTTAACTACTTCTGCTCTCTCTTTGCTGGTTCTTCCTCCTCTTCTCAGATCTTGGGGAGCAACAAGGCTCCATCTTGGGTTTCCTTTTTGTTTCCTCGGTGTTCTCCTGGTCTGTCCTCTCATTCCATTTCCTTGTTTCAGATACTATCATTTGTATCCKGATACTCTAAAGCCTCCAGTTGGACTTTGCCTGCATCTCTGTCTACCTGCTGAAAACCCTTCTTTGGATAACCTGTAGGCTGTTCTGGGTTAGTCAGCTCTCTGTTGCTGTGACTCCGTATCTGAGATTATCAGTTTAGAAGGAGAAAAGGTTTATTTTGACTCATGGTTTAACAGGTTTCACTCAATGGTTATTTGGCCCTGCTGCTTTGAGCCTGTGGCAGCACAGTACATGGTGGTAGCGTAGGCCTGGTTCACCTCATGGCAGCTGGGAAGCAAAGAGGATGTGGGGAGGACGTGGTTGGGGTCCACTTGCTCAGGGAAGACCTCCAGTGACCTAACTCCCTTCCAGTAGGCCCCATCTCATGAAGGGTCTACYATCTCCCCGTAGCACTGCAGGTTGGGTACCAAGTCTTACACATGGGCCTTTGGGGGCCACTTCTAAACCATAGCGATTTCTAAATTATCTTGTTCATAACTGAACTCCTGAAATTATTCCCTCTAACCCATTTCTCTGTTAGTCTTTCCTTTCTGGTACATGGCAGCTCTGCTCTCTTTGCTCATCATATAATTCTTGGAATCTTCTTTGATACTTCTTTTTCTTCCTTCTCTCCAGCTCATCAGCACATCCTGAAATGGGTCCAGATTTGGATGCTTCTCCCTATTGTCATCATTACCTTTTTGGGTCAAGACACCCTGGTCACTCACCTGCATTATTTCTGTAGCCTCTGACTGGACTCCCTCCAGCTTTTGCTCTTGCTGTCCTACATTTTCTCAAAGATACCAGAGTGACCCTTTCATAAGATCATGTCACTCCATGTCACTCTACTTTTCAGAGTCATCTAGTGGTTTCCCACTTTATTTGTAGGAAATCCAAAGTCCTTAAAAAAATGTTTTGACTATATATGTAATTAGAGGACAACAGACAAATTAATTTTATGGAAAAATTCTAAGTGATTTGGGTAGCATAGCTCTCCATCCATTAAGAATGGGATGGATGCATACAGTGATTTCTTTCCAAAGAGTACAGTACAGAAAAGGGGGAAATGGCATAACTTTGCCCTGGAAAAACCTAACAGACACCCCCTCAATCAAGTGAACAATATGTAGTGTCAATAATAAGGTGATTATGTCCTTTGATGTGATGAAAATGACAGGTTACCTTTGTGGTGATCCTTTTCAAAACACAATCCTAGTCTAAGCATAAGAAAACCATCAGACAAATTTCAATTGAGGTTCATTTTGCCTGAGGAATATTCTACAAAATGTCTAATTAGTACTTTTCTCAAAATTATCAAGATTGTTAAAAACAAGGAAAATCTTAGAGACCATAGTTCAGAGGAGTCTAAGGAGACAGGACTGCTGAATATAATGTGTGTGTATGTGTGTGTGTGTGTGTGTGTGTGTGTGTGTGTTTGAATGGGATCCTGGGGTGGAAAGAGAATATTGGGTAAAATTTAAGAAAATCTGAGTAAAGTATGGACCTGAATCAATAATGTATCAGTATTCATTCATTAGTTGTGACAAATGTATTATACTAATGTGAGGTGTTAACAGGGGAGACAGGGAATTGCAGCTTCTCTGTAAATCTAGAACAATTTTAAAATAAAAGGTTTATTTAAAAAACAAAAACAAAAAACCAAAAACCTTTCCTTTATGATCTGCTCTCTCCCTACCTCCTGTCTCTCATTGGAGCACAATGGGGAAGAGGAGAGCGATCTTCATGATCTCTGGGTTGTTTCTCTATAATCGATTACTTCTTCTCTAGGGATGATTTTTGAGCCCTAGAGGACATTTGGATAATGTGTAGACACTTTTAGTTGTCACAACTGGGACGGATAATGGTATGGGGTTTCAGTGGGTCGAGATCAGAAATAATGGKAACTATCCCAGTGTCTCAGAGAATCTAAGAATTATATGCCCCTCATGTCCAAGTGCTAAGGTTGAGACTCTCTGGCCCTTTAGAATTTGGGGTTCTCTGTTTTCTATCAGATTCCTGACCAGTGTTTCTTGCCCTGCTTTGCTTTTCTCCTTGGCACTTCTCCTCAGCGTCCAATGTACCCTTGGTTTAGTTGCTTGTCCATCTCTTACCAGCAAGTGTGTCTTCCATCAGGATTTGGTAATTTGATTCACTTTTGAATCCCCAGCATTTGGAATTGTACCTGACTCAGTTTAGGTGTGTTCATTCAATATATGTTGAAAGAGTTCAATAATTACAGAAGTGAATAGATGATAAAGATGACATATACTTACACTAAAAATTCAAGTAACAAAGTGCAAATGTATACATTCCTCTAACTGCCTATTCCCTCTTTGTGTTCTCTAGAAATTCCCACTGAGTTTCTTTTTTATCCGTCCACAATTTCCCCTCATTTTTAAATATATCTGTATACCAGGAACATGTGAACACAATTTATCTGCATTTCTCCTTTTTTAAATGGGATCAGCTCAGTATTTCTATTGATATATCTGGACATATTTACATATCAACACATGGAATGCCATCTTTTTGATGGTTGCATGATTTATATGTAGAATTAAGCAAAAGTATTTTTAAGTGTTTACAGTAGAATCTTGGTATGATACTTCATTATAAAGTGTATAATAATAATAATCATGTCTCCTGAAACAATGTGTTTCCTTAAACCAAGACAGTGCTCAACATTATCTTTGTTAGTGTTCTTCAAAACATTTTGTTCTTCAAAACATTTTCTTTATATGCGTTTTTTATTCCTACCTTGTAAGTGTCTTGTGATTGTGAGCTTTGCCTTTTCTAATCTTAACTCTATGTACCTAGCCTGGTGCTGTCTGATAGCAGGTCCTTAAAACCTGTGGGTTGAATTGAATTGAATTTTCTCCTTCTTTTGTTAAAATTACCAGATCATTTTGTAATATTCAAATTTCTATGAGTGTTAGAATCATTGACCAAATTGAAGTGTGTTTAGATATAGTTTTGGGAGAAAAATAGTCTTATTTTGTTGAAATGATGATTCTTCTAGAGTCCAGAGATCTAATTTCCTGATTGTATCTCTGAGAAGAAGGCCATGATAGCTAAAGGTGCTCAACTTGAATGTGGTTCAGTAGCAATTAAACTTCTCATTGTTTTAAGTATATCAGATCTTGTCTTTTTTTTTTTTTCTCCTAATGAAATGCCTAATGGGGCAAAGTTGGCAGTAGCTGAGTTCAGATACTACAAATTAATGTTCCCATACTTATTTCAGCCTAGCTGGTAAACTAGCCTTCCAGTCTGCTGCTTTCACTTTGGGTAGCACTGACATTTTGTGAATATTAATTTGGAACTAACTTTGCAAGGATTCAGTGCTGTCCTGTATTCAGTGGTGGGTGGGGTGTGAAACTGCATTGATTTTGTTGGCATGATAGAACAGTGCCATTATCTGAAAGTATTGAAAATATTATCTGAAAATATTGTCCTGTTTCTCTGGCCAGATTTCAGCCCAGTAGAGTTAGCCTACCTTCTTGTTAGAGGCAACTTTTTCTTATAAATTTCCTTCTTTCCTTCCCAAGTCACCTTCTGACCCTCTTTCAGTTCCTGACACCTTGCTCCATTGATTTGACCCTTCATTGGTGTTAACTTTGAGTTAGCTTTTGTATGTGTATATCTTKTCTTTTAATGGAGGCCCCCCGGGGAATAGGTAGGTCAGTGTCTTGAAGATTGTAGACATTATGAACAACTGGTTGTTGACATCAGTGGTGATAAAATATTGATGGTGTTGGTGAGATTTGCTTTGCTAACTCTGACTGATAGATATCTAWCTACTGAATTCTAGAATTTGCTTTGCTAACTCTGATATCTAACTACTGAATTCTAGAATTCAGATTGTAAACTGACCTTTTTTGGAGGTCATGTTAGTGTTTCAGAAATTACTTCGGCTTGATGATATGATTTAAAAAATACATTTAAGTAGTTAAATATGTTAAATGAGACAGTAAAACCTTGTTTTGTGTAGGCAGTGAACTTAATCATTCTTATAAAGAAATAATATAACTTCAGGATAAATTTTGAAATGGGATTACGAGCTATCCTTACGGAAGATCAMGGAAAGCCACTGTTGGATTTTTCCCCCTAAGTCATTAGAAGTTTTGCATGCTCACCGTACTGCAGTAGCATTAAGTTTGCAAGTATTTTTAGCGTTCAATTAATTGTATGAACTAAATGTAAAAAATATTTTTCACCTTTCTCTTTAACAATTGCTTATGTTTACTTTAAATATTTTAAATATAAAATTTAATTGTTATGGTTGTCAGACTTCAGTGTTTATTATGGTTTATCAAATATGAAAAATAGGATTTTGAGTCATAAAAAGATTGTGATCAAACAGTAATTCTATCCTTAATTTGAAAGAATATTGATACCCACTGAAAAACAGGAAAATAATATCCCAGTCCATTGCGTTTATCCATATTTCAAATAGATGAAAGATACTTTAATATAAGGTTTAAAGCAATTTACATTGTTTTTTTGCTTGTTTTATTTCTTAAAGTGATAATTCTTATTTTTTTTCCTTCTATTTTAGGTTCCTGAGAGTTAAACAATGGGGAGACATTTGGCCTTGCTTCTGCTTCTGCTTCTCCTTCTCCAACATTTTGGAGACAGTGATGGAAGCCAAAGACTTGAACACCCTCCTCCTCTACAGTTCACACATTTCCAGTACAATGTCACTGTGCATGAGAATTCTGCAGCTAAAACCTATGTTGGGCATCCTGTGAAGATGGGTATTTACATTACAAATCCACTGTGGGAATTAAGGTACAAAATTGTCTCAGGAGACAACGAAAACCTGTTCAAAGCTGAGGAGTACATTCTTGGAGATTTTTGCTTTCTAAGAATAAGGACCAAAGGAGGAAACACAGCTATTCTTAACAGAGAAGTGAAAGACCATTACACATTGATAGTCAAAGCAGTTGAAAAAAATACTAATGTTGAAGCACGAACAAAGGTCAGGGTTCAAGTGCTGGATACAAATGACTTGAGACCATTGTTCTCACCCACCTCATATAGTGTTTCCCTACCTGAAAATACAGCTATAAGGACCAGTATTGCACGAGTCAGTGCCACAGATGCAGACATAGGAACCAATGGAGAATTTTATTACAGTTTTAAAGACCGAACTGACATGTTTGCTATTCATCCAACCAGTGGCACCGTAGTTTTAACTGGTAGACTTGATTACGTAGAGACTCAGCTCTATGAGCTGGAGATCCTTGCTGTGGACCGTGGAATGAAGTTGTATGGTAGCAGTGGTATCAGCAGCATGGCCAAGCTAACAGTTCATGTGGAACAGGCCAACGAATGTGCTCCTGTGATAACAGCGGTGACATTGTCACCATCAGAACTGGACAAGGACCCGACATATGCAATTGTAACTGTGGATGACTGCGATCAGGGTGCCAATGGGGAAATTGCTTCTTTAAGCATTGTGGCAGGTGACTTCCTTCAACAGTTTASAACAGTGAGATCCTCTCCAGGAAGTAAAGAGTATAAAATCAAAGCTGTTAATGGCATTGATTGGGACAGTCATCCTTCTGGCTACAATCTGACTCTACAGGCTAAAGATAAGGGAACTCCTCCCCAGTTCTCTTCCGTAAAAGTAATTCATGTGACTTCTCCACACTTTAAAGCTGGGCCAGTCAGGTTTGAAAAGGATATTTACAGAGCAGAAATAAGTGAATTTGCTCCTCCCAATACACCTGTGGTCATGGTAAAAGCCGTTCCTAGTTATCCCCATTTGAGGTATGTTTTTAAAAGTACACCTGGAAAAGCTAAATTCAGTTTAAATCACAACACTGGTCTCATTTCCATTTTGGAACCAATTAAAAGACAGCAGACATCCCATTTTGAACTTGAAGTAACAACAAGTGACAGAAAAGCCTCCACAAAAGTCTTGGTTAAAGTCTTAGGTACAAACAGCAATCCCCCTGAATTTACCCAGACAGCGTACAAAGCATCCTTTGATGAGAACGCACCCATTGGTACTACTGTCATGAGGGTGAGCGCCATAGACCCTGATGAGGGTGAGAATGGATACGTGACTTACAGTATTGCAAATCTCAATCATGTGCCATTTGTGATTGATCATTTCACGGGTGCCGTGAGTACTTCAGAAAACCTGGACTACGAACTGATGCCTCGGGTTTATACCTTAAGAATTCGAGCATCAGACTGGGGCTTGCCATACCGTCGGGAAGTTGAAGTCCTTGCCACGATCACCCTCAACAACTTGAATGACAACACACCTTTGTTTGAGAAAATAAATTGTGAAGGAACAATTCCCAGAGATCTAGGTGTGGGGGAGCAAATAACTACCGTGTCTGCTATCGATGCCGATGAACTTCAGTTGGTACGGTATCAGATTGAAGCTGGGAATGAACTAGATTTGTTTGGCTTAAACCCCAACTCTGGGGTATTGTCTTTAAAGCAGTCACTCATGGATGGTTTAGGTGCAAAGGTATCTTTTCACAGTTTGAGAATTACGGCTRCAGATGGAGAAAATTTTGCCACCCCATTATATATCAACATAACTGTGGCTGCCAGTCGCAAGCCAGTAAACTTGCAGTGTGAAGAGACTGGTGTTGCCAAAATGCTGGCAGAGAAACTCCTGCAGGCAAATAAGTTGCAYGGTCAGGGGGAGGTCGAGGATATTTTCTTTGATTCTCACTCCGTCAATGCTCATGTCCCACAGTTTAGGAGTACTCTTCCGGCTGGTATTGAGGTAAAGGAAAACCATCCTGTGGGTTCCAGCATAATTTTCATGAATGCTACTGACCTTGACTCTGGCTTCAATGGAAAATTGGTATATGCTATTTCTGGAGGAAATGAGGATAGTTGCTTCATCATTGACATGGAAACAGGAATGCTGAAAATCTTATCTCCACTTGATCGTGAAACCACAGACAGATACACATTGAATATTACTGTTTTTGACCTTGGTATACCACAGAAGGCAGCTTGGCGTCTTCTGGATATCATTGTTCTGGATGCCAATGATAATCCACCTGAATTTTTACAGGAGAGCTATTTTGTTGAAGTGAGTGAAGACAAAGAGATAAATAGTGAAATCATCCAGGTTGAAGCTACTGATAAAGATCTAGGCCCCAATGGACATGTGACGTACTCTATTCTTACAGATACTGATAAGTTTTCAATTGACAGCACAACTGGTGTGGTTAAAATTATGCACCCTTTGGATCGTGAACTACAGCATGTGCATTACTTAAAGATTGAAGCCAGGGATCAAGCCAAAGAAGAGCCCCAGTTGTTTTCCACTGTGCTTTTGAAAGTCTCACTAGAAGATGTTAATGACAACCCACCTAAGTTCATTCCACCTAATTACCGTGTGAAAGTTCGAGAGGATCTGCCAGAAGGAACGATAATCATGTGGTTAGAAGCCTACGATCCTGACTTAGGTCAATCTAGTCAAGTAAGATAYAGTCTTATGGACCATGGAGAAGGGCACTTTGATGTGGATAAACTCAGTGGAGCAGTTAGAATTGTGCAACAGTTGGACTTTGAGAAGAAGCAAGTGTACAATCTCACGGTGAGGGCCAAAGACAAAGGAAAGCCAGTTTCTCTGTCTTCCACTTGCTATGTGGAAATTGAGGTAATTGATGTGAATGAGAACTTACATCCTCCAGTGTTTTCCAGCTTTGTGGAAAAGGGTGCAGTGAAAGAAGATGTCCCTATTGGTTCATCAGTAATGACAGTGTCAGCTCACGATGAGGACACAGGAAGAGATGGGGAGATCCGATATTCCATTAGAGACGGTTCTGGTGTTGGTGTTTTCAAGATAGATGAAGAAACAGGTACATACGTTTTTATTACTCTTGTTTCTCATCCCTCCTATTTTTTTCACAGATGTCTTTCGATAGATCCTTCACAATTCCCAGTTGATCTCTCTTAGGGCCCAGTATAGAAGTGCTTCTGAATGGTGTTGATCTGTTGTATGTAGATACGTAAGCCATGAAGATGGAACAAAGGAGCCCAGGTGATTAAATGGGCATTAAGTGATTGAGAAAAAATTAAAACTGTTCCTACTGATGCTCATCTCTAAGCTTGTACCCTCTGTTATCAAAAATATCACTTTGGTTTTATTGTAACTTTGAGAAGCCCTTTGGAGGTTTTTCACACTCAGGTGTTCGAAGGCCCTTATTTACAGCAACCACTGGCACCATCTGGCCTGCCATCCAGAGGTGATTGCACAACCTCCAACATGATGCAGTGCACACAGATTATGGGTTAGAACGTCTATAATATGATCTGGTGTACTTAGTACCTCCCCCAGGTTTTGTCTGAGAGGCAGATGTAGGGTAGTGGAATGTTGAAAAGACCTGTCTTGTAAGCCTGGCTCTTTCAGTTGTTTGTAACATATGATCTTGAATGAGAGAAATACTGCTTTAAACTTAACTTTTCATCTGTAAGGTGAAGACACTCAAAATTACTACAAGATTTATGTGATGATACAGCAACATAACATGGGAAAGGTCTTAGTGTGTTAGGTTTATTAATTTTTTTTTGCAATGGTAGCAATGTCTTTTTATGATACCATTTCACTTAGAATAGGGTTCTAAAACTAGGACCCCCAAGATGACCAGTTCATGTGAGTATATACTGTTTTTGCATTATGTGCATACTTTCCTCTAGCTGCAAAGATATTGTAGTTACAAGTCAACCTCCTTGATAGAGTGTGAGCCTTAATAAACTCATATGTTTCTATCTTCAACACTTAGCAAAGAGTGGCTGGCACATAGAAGCTGTTCAATCAGTGTTGAAAGAATAAATGAGTAAATTAATATTTTGGCTTTGAATGGCCTACCCTCTGAGCATGGTCATAGAAATAGAAGGAAACTGGGTAACTGTAGCACAAAATAGTGATAGGTGAGTTTTTTTTACTCTCTTTCGTTTTTCCTTTATAAATCTGTCCATTCTAAAAGAGAATTTGATGGTTACATTAAATCTTTATGTGTTCAGTAATACCATAAAAAAATAACAAAAGTATTTAGTTAGCACTTACCCAGTGTCCATATGAGCATCTAAAGGTACAAAGCACATGAAAATTTTAACTTCTCTTAGAAATAGTTATTTTGGAGGTTATAGTTTTTTTATTATACTTTTATTAATTCAAGGGATTCTTTTGCTGATTGTATACCACTAGCATGTGTTAGATATATAGTAGATCTACAGATTATGTTCCTCATCTAAAAGTTTCACAGTTAATACAAGAGAAAGTAAGCATAAGCAGTAGTGTTTGGTAGTTATTTATCTGAAGAGTAGAATGCCTATTTTTTTTTTTTTTAGTCATTGTTGTTTTGTTATTACTGTCCAATATAAATTAGAATTTTTAGGTACATTGTCAACATAGGGAAATATCCAAAGTTAATAATTGAAGTTGAAACTATGACATGTTCTTTTTAATTTCTAAGAACACATATTCCTACTTTTTTTCCTTTTCAAAGTAGATTTCAAAAAACCTATAAAGAACTCTTACAAATTAAAGTTGAATCAGAAAATAGAACCTGAATCTTAATTTACATCCTCTTCGTGACTTAAATTATATGATCGCTGCCTTTTGGGGTTTTCTTTCAAATGAAAAGTATATTTTAATTGTTGCTTTTTAAGGAATCATTTCAAAAGTAGAATTTTTTTTTTTAACCTATAAATTAAGGAGTTGGGTTATTTTTACTACCATGGATTGAGGGGGGAGGAGCCAACCAAACAAGGCAGTGTCCTGAAATAGATCTGTGGTAGTTTTCAGAGCTGAAAGGCAGTGCCAGATTCTTCCACTGGTAATTTAGTGGGAAGGAGGAGGAGGTGTTAGGATTATGGGCCCTGTGGTTGGTAAAGGAATGAAAGACCGTTAGGCATTTATATAATGATATTTAAAGGTGAGAGAGAAGCTGGAAATTTCTAGGTCATTCTGTGATCCTAGTTTTACAGAGGAAAACACTCATGTGTATGGTAGATTTATTTATATATGCCTTTTGAAATTGAATAAGTGATAAAATAATATTTATATATTGGACTGGTATGCATTACAAGATTTTTTTTTTTTTTTCTGACAGTAGAATTATCAGCCCAAGTTATTTTAGAGATTCTTGGCCAGGACAACTATTCCTTTAGGAAAAAAAATTAGTTTTATGCAGCAGGAATGAATGCTGAAATTAGGTAAGCTTTTCTGTTTTTTTTTTTTTTTTTTTTTTTTTGTAGTTTAATTTCTAGGGCATTGTGGGAGTGTGGAGGAATGTCTTTCTAACCAGGAAAAGTAAGGGCAGTTTGGAAATACCAATGGGAACATCACAGAATGGGGGCACTCCTCCAACTCAGTATGGATTGGTGTTGGCTTGGCTCAGGTCTGGTTAGCACTTTTCTAGAGCTTCACTCTTTTCATTGCCCACTTCCATTGGGCTCTCACCGTCTCCAACAGTGATGCATTTATTATTGGGCTGATTGATTTGGGCCTCTGCAGCAGTGTTCTGACTCGGGGGACCAAAAACCTGTACACTTAACTATTTGCTTCTTGTCTTTGGCTTTAAACTCCTTGTGTTGGTTGAATAATATGACCAGGTTTTTGTAGTGGCTTAACTATTTCAACGTTGTCAAATGTGCGTATCTTTTATATCCTTTTTACAAAACAGAGAATATATTCAAAAACTTGAACTTAGTTTTTACTATTTTTAAGATCTTTCTTCTTCTATTTAAATCTGCTTAAATTTTGAAACATCACCTGAAAAGTAGTTTTTTAAAAAATGAAACTTCTGTGGATTAACTCTGAATTTTTTACATATTTTGCTAATTGGCTTTATAGGGAGGTAACATGTAATCTCAGTGTGGGGGTAATAGTCATTTGCTCATCTGATAATCTCTTACTGTGTCATATGCTTTGTCTGGAGAGGCCTCTGGGGATTATTAGTGAACTGTTCTGACAAATCTGTGCCCATGTGATTGCCCTTCCATTTGAGGTTTGGAAGGATAGAGCATTACATGAAAAATTATTTGGAAAGTCAGTTTTTGTTGCAGAGCCAATCTCTACAGCTCTGATTAAGATTCTTTAAATTTCTCTGCTTAAAATCTACAGTTAGAATTCTAAAGTAGATTTGACCAAAATACTTAGTGGAGTAGTTGTCTTGGAAGCATGTGTAATTTCACATTTAGGTTTTGGTTTGCCTGACTTAATAGTTCTCAGTATAATGATAATTCTTCACCTCATTTTTACTTCACATAGGTTCTTGGTTGCTTTGTATGTTTCCAAGTCCAGCAGAATAGAATCTTGAGCATCCCTCATAGAAAATTAGTGAAATAAATTCTGTTTATTCATTTTAACTGATGGGTATCCATCAAGTTAATTATTACTTGAGGACCAAGAAGAAGTTGCATCTTTTTGTTAATTTTTAAAACTAAGATAGTATATAGAAAAATGCTTATCCAAAAGTTTTTTAAATTGTTAATGGAAAGTTGTGTTGCAGCAGTGTTTAGGTCAGTCTCTTTCCCTGATGTGTGTATGATAATGGGCTGCTCACAGGTATGTTTTGCCTTCAGTCAGAAGTAGTATGGTTCTGTGTTTGGATGGTGGCATAATGCAATCCAGTAACAGTATTTTCTCCTTTGACTCTACTTATTTGGGGAGACCATGTTTTTCATTAAGATAAGAGCAGATATTTAAGCTCTTTAACACTGGGTTACTCTTTAGGATTCTGATCATGGTTTCYGTATTGAAATTTACATATGTTTCTATGGAAAGACTTGGAATGAGTTAATATGGAAGTATAGCTGTTGTGACAAGATAAATCACCATTCATGAAATATGGGAGGGCATAGGAGGATTACATTTTTCTAAAGAGAAAATTGCTATGTTCTCATTATGGGGGAAGTTTTAGTTTGTCATTGCTGTATCACCGAAGATTGTCTTCTGGCCTTTCTTACAGTGGACACGGCATGAATGCAGTTGTATAGAGGAAACAGGGGAATTTCATTTCAGGCTTACCTGATGGCTAACCTCATTGAGAGGGAAAATGTTCTTGGAACCTCTGTCTTGTTTGGCAGATGCCTGAATATTTTTTGTTGTTTGGTTTTGAAAAATGTGTTTCCTAAAATAAAGTAGGATATTCTGCATATATCCTAGGACATACATTTTCCCTGCAGCCTGTTCTCTCRTGACAGGAAATGGAATGTAGCAGATACTAATGGGCCATGGATCATGACTGAAAACTGTGAGAATGGCTAAGAGCTGGGTGGCTGTTGGAAGTGAGGCCGGTTGCGGTGTGAGCATGTCTCTTCGTTGAGTCTAGAATTCCTGGCAGTATGAACTTAAATAGTTACTGGTGGGAGGCCCAGTTAGGGAGTTAAGAAATTTGCTGGTGAAAGGGCTTTTGTATTGCTGTGTCCTCCCTTAAGTGGCAGCAGCTGCTGTCCTCTTTTTGTTGTTCTCCTAGGAAAATTTAAAGAGAAAAGAAACTTACTTCCCAGCCACAGTGAGATTGAAAAGTCAGGCTTTGCAGAAATTTTCTGATAGTATGCTCTTGCCATGTTCAGGAGTAAAAATCTGCTCTCGTGTGTGTGTGTGTGTGTGTGTGTGTGTGTGTGTGTTGAGGCAGAGCATAGTAGTAATCTCTGCTGGGGAGTCCTCCTCTGAAGCAGGAGGATTGTTAAGGTGAAAGAAGAATCTAATTTGAAATCTGAAGGAAATTCTATTTTGCTTTAAAAGAAAACAAGATCAGCTTTTCTTTAGTTGTTTATAAGATGTTTAAAAAGTTGTTGCTTGGAGTACTGAGGGGCTAAATCTAGTTGGAAGGGAAGTTGGGATATAAAG